CCACATCCTGAATGGACAAGGCAACAAAGAAGAAGAAGAAGAATGTAATTGTGTGGATGGTTGGAAAAACAGGGATCAGGAGAGATAGCAAAAAAAAAAACAAAATTTACTAAGAGCTACAAAGGACAGGAAATTGTGGAGAGCCATGATTGACCACATCCTGAATGGACAAGGCAACAAAGAAGAAGAAGAAGAATGTAATTGTGTGGATGGTTGGAAAAACAGGGATCAGGAGAGATAGCAAAAAAAAGACAAAATTTACTAAGAGCTACAAAGGACAGGAAATTGTGGAGAGCCATGATTGACCACATCCTGAATGGACAAGGCAACAAAGAAGAAGAAGAAGAATGTAATTGTGTGGATGGTTGGAAAAACAGGGATCAGGAGAGATGTAAAAAAAAAAGACAAAATTTACTAAGAGCTACAAAGGACAGGAAATTGTGGAGAGCCATGATTGACCACATCCTGAATGGACAAGGCAACAAAGAAGAAGAAGAAGAATGTAATTGTGTGGATGGTTGGAAAAACAGGGATCAGGAGAGATAGCAAAAAAAGACAAAATTTACTAAGAGCTACAAAGAAAGCATCTTCTTAGGAGTCAGTTCTACAAGGCAGTGGATTGTGGGAAGAAGTTGCTGGAGTCGAACTTACATCTCACCAATGGAATACAAAGGAAATAAAGGTGGTTTGCTACAATGTACATGGCATAGTGGGTCTTAGCCATAAAGGTGGAACTAAGGATTGGGGATTAAACTCTCATGTGTCTAAGGTCTGTTTCAGCCAGATGAAAACTCTATTAATTTTTAATCTTTTCATTTGTACCCTCTTACTTCTTGAAATAATAACCTACATTCATATTTATGATTGTTATTGCAATATTTTGATAAAGTCGCTAAGCTCAAATATTTAAAAATGTAATAGGGTAATTTGAAGAGTGTTTGTAGTTGTAATTTACAAAAAGCTTACTCATTCAATAAATTAAGATTTTATGAGTCAGCAGAAAATTCCGATGAGAAAGCTGTGAAATTTTCATGTGTTCTAACATAACTCTTCATCTTAGAAATTCATACAGTAACCTATTTTCTTTTCTGCCATGTTCAGGAAAGTGTGGCTTTTGCTTTGAAAACTGAGTGTAGCTGAACAACTTATATTCATGCTACTTCCATTTTGAAAGCAAATTGACTGGTCAGTGCTATCAGTGTTTTGTCTTTGATTCAAATATCAAATTCTATAAAAATAATACAAAGAAAATTCTCTTCTGGATAAATACAAGATCACTGGCTACTCCATCATCAATAACAATATTTATATAACAAACACCCATCATTTCAAAAAGGGAAAGATATGAATTTACAAAAAATTTGTTGTTTACTAAAATTATATATTTTAACACTCCTCCTGTTGACAATAGCGATTTATTTTACCAATTTTTTTTTCACATATTTTAGATTGAAGAGGAAAAATCAAAATCATTGTCCATTTTCTTTTTAACACTTCTGTTCTCACTCCTTCCTCCATTAACTGTCTGATTCCATTTTTACTTTTAAAATGTTTTGTTTCTGATTCTTATAAAAAGAAATTCCATACTTTTTTTTTATTTGGAATAGCTTTAAGAGGATAGCTTTTAAGATGGCCTCATGGTTAACATTAGAGAAAATAAAATTTGCAAGTCAAGTTCAAATTCTTTTATAGCCCGGGCTCTCTAGACAACCAGAAATTGGTAGCTGATCTCTCTTTTTATCTAGCTCTAACAATCTCACAAAATGGCAGGTTACATTCAATGCCTCAAAAACTGTAATGAAAGACATGACTTACCTTGGAATTTGAAACGAGTGTGAACGTGTCTTGCCTGCAAAGTAATAACAAAAAAAAAACATGGCCACTATTGAAGATGCAATTTATGTGCACCTATCTCATCCAAGATGAGACGATATTTGCAGACATGCAAATTTTGGCCGTCTTGGAATAGCATAAAAAGCAGGGTGCCAGCAGCATGGGGGAAGAAGTCATTCAGCGGACTGCATGTGTTAGAGTTGGACATACGGATTGATAGACAGACAGACAAAGAGGAAATTGAAGTAGGCACAACTGAGTTGGTGTCTGTTTCACAACTGCCCAGTGTAACGTCTGAGAAAGGGAGCCATGCAATCCATTTCCTTGAAGCAACCAAAGAAGAAGGAAAAGAGCTGGCCTGTTGGCGAGTGCTGCATGTCACTTTTTGACCTCCCTTGATCATCATTTATTTTTCTCTGCAAAAACCAAACTAGTTATATTATATCATAACTCATGGACCAAGCCTATGAACAACGATGAGATCTTAGAGAGGTTACAAACAAGGAGGGGGTTTATACTTAATATCAGCTGAAGTTTCTGGGATGCATAAAGAAGGAGGACTTGGAGAATCTGATACTCACGGGTTGAATAGAGGAAAAGAGAGATAAGGGAAAACAACGCATGACATACCTGGCAGACATGGCGGAATGCTGGGAGAGGAAGCAGAGAAAAGGAACTTGTTGAGCTGCAAAGGATAGAGGGAGGTGGAGAGCTATAATCGCCCATGTCCTGAATGACGGAATGTGGACAATAGGAGGATAGATATCACATAACAGTTTCATACTCTTTTTTTTTTTGTTGTTTCTAGCAACGTTTTTCTATTTCTAGTACTCTGCTTAGCTTTTGAAAGGCATCTTTGGTTATCCCAATATAGCTTCAGATTTCAATGTCACACTTTCTGTTGTCTGTTAAAACACTTCCCAGATATTGAAATTGTTGTATTTGTTTGATTTTGGTATCTCCATTTTGTAATTTGCATGTTGGGCTGTTCCTTTTTGCTGACAACCATGCATTTTCACTTTCCTTCTCTTCCTTCTGTAGGAATTCTTGTAATTTCATTTCTGTGTCTGCTACCAACACTGTCATAAGCCATATTCTATGTTTTTAAAGATTGTGGCCACCAATAATGAATTCTAATTTCATTCTCTGACAACCACCATAAGTAAATGGATGGCGGAACAGGGTTTAAGAGAAATAACAGAAAGACAATGTTTATTAAAAGATATAAGGGACAGGAAGTTGTGGAGAGTCATGATCGCCTATGTTCTGAAGCAACACAGCACATCGGAAGAAGTATTGGTTGAAATAAGTATGTTGAGAAGATATATCCTTGTTTTACAGCCATTTCTGTCCACTGCCTTATAGGTGGACTGATATTACATAAATGTTCAGTATTCTTTGTTTCTAAGAAAATTTTTTAAATTCTTAATACTTTGCTTAGCTTTTCGAAGGCCTTTTTTGCTATCTCAAGGCAGCTTCTGATTTCAGTGTTGCCATTTCTGTCTTCTGTTAAATGACTTCCCAGATATTTAAATTGCTGCTCTTTAAATTCCCTGTTATGCTATCCATTGACACAAGCCCATTAGGTAGGTGATCATAGCTCTCCACAACTTCCTTTCATATCCTTTGTAAAGCTAAGCAATGTTTGTCTCCTTAATATCCCTCCCAGTCTCTGTTCTGCCATCCATTGACACGAGTCCATTAGGTAGGTGATCATAGCTCTCCACAACTTTCTCTTCCTGATATTAAGTATAAGTGTCCTTTTTGGTTTTGTTTCCATTTTCTCTAGAAATTTGCTGTTGTTCATGTATTCATATTCTGTGAGGAGACTGTCTAGCATTCACTGCCATATATGGGGATTGATATATGTAACAATTCTTTTCTTCATTCCTCTTTCTTAACACTTTGCTTAGCTTTTGGAAGGCATTTTTTGCTATCTCAATGCACCTTCTGATTTCAGCGTTTCAATTTCTGCCCTCTGTTAAAACACTTCCCAAATATTTAAATTTGGGGATTTGTCTGATTTTGGTATCTCCATTAACAGTTGTTGAGGAGACTGTCCAGCATTTACTGCCATATAAGAGGAGAGATATGTAACAGTTCAGTACACTTTTCTTTGTTTCTAACAAAGTTTTCTTGTTTTTTAATACTCTGCTTATCTTATGGAATACTTCTTTGGCTATCCTAATGTATCTTCAGTTTTCTAGGTTAACTAGCACTTCCACTAGTTTTTTGTGATGTACAAACACAATCTATAAAACACAGGTAAATGTCCTTTTACATTTGCATTGTTCTTTCTGCTGTCATTCTGAACTTGAATATCACATTCCATGTTCTATTGACTTTGACGAAGCTGCACTGTTCTTGTCCTATTTTCAATTTGATTCTGCTGCACACTCTTTTTATCAAAATTTAGATTTAAGTTGAGGCTAAATAAGCTTTGTCTTATAATCTTATCTCTGCCTATGTCAAACTTTAAATAATCTTGCTTAAATTAATTTTCAGCAGTTAGGACAACTGCTTAAAAACAGAAGACTGTCTTTTTTGTTAAAGTTATATATGCATTATAAGAGGATTATTTTTAATATTACTATTATTATTATTATTAGTAGTAGTAGTAGTAGAAATAGTAGATTTAACCATATTATCATTATTATAAGAACTACATTCATTATTATTAAATCAGTCAATGTTTATACCAATTCTGGAGCCCAGCAGTATTTCTATTTGTGCTTGTTAGTGCGCCTAGAGAGATGGCGTCAGGTCTATAAGGGAAGAATTGGTTTCATTCGTGAAGAGATTTTCAAAATCAATTAGGAACGGTAATTTCCTGGGTCTGATAACTTGTGGCAGAATCAGAAGGCTGGTTCCTGCCTTCAGGGATCAGGATAATGGTCGAAATACAATGAATTAATAATGGGAACCTGTGATTGAATTCCCAGTGCGCATTGAGCTAAACACTTGGAGTTCTTCATGAAGGTCTCATCAGGAATTATTTGAAGAGAAATCCAATGCTAATGAAAGGAGATTCTAGCAGAAACCAAAATTCTAAGAAATCATGTGTGTGTATATATATATATATATATATATATATATATATATATATATATATATATATATATATATATATATATGTATATATATCTTTTGTGCAAATATTTACATAAATGTACATACTTACTTACCTATTTATCTATCTATCTATCTATCTCCATTTGCATTTTCAACTTCTTTTTCTTATACTTTTTATCTGTATTGGATATATTAAAAGTGGTACTTTCTTATATATATTCTTTTTCATTCTTTCCCCCTCTCTCATTCTCTCTCTCTCTCTGTATATTATATATATATAATAGCTGGCCACTAGTATTTGAGGATACCCATCACCTAGGTTGGCTAGCCAATCCCTAATTCAGATGCTTGCTCAGGCACATTTGTGTTTGTTCAACACCCACAGAGCCTACCCATGGTTTATACTGCAACTATGCTGAGCAGACCTTAGTTACAGTTTCTGGGAGAGAGCATGTTAACTAGCATGATCAACAATCTGAACAACACCAGCACACTCAAACCCTTGGTCACGATGATTTGTAACTTTGTGCTATATTGACCTTCCCCCAAGTGTTCTGTCTGCCCAATTTCACTCACAAGGCTTGGGTCAACCTGTGGCATGGTTTTCAGGCACTTTCCAAAGGTGTTGCATGCCCAGACCATCCCCCCCCCCAGGCCGATAACATCAGGAAGTCTCCTGCCTGACAAATCAGCCATGGTGAGATTCGAACCTGGGTCTCATGGTCAGAAAAAACAAACATTCTAACCACTCGGCCATGTGCCCATGTTTGTTTATATATATATATATATATATATATATATATATATATATATATATATATATATATATATATATATATATATATATATATATATATATATATATGAACAATTATGAAAAAAATTATACATTATGAACAGAAAATTAATAATGAGCAAGAAGAAAGAAGAGTAATCAGGAGGTCAGCAGATAGTGATTGACATTGCATTTAAATTTTTGAAGATAAAAGCTGTTAAGATAATAACTACAAAGATGAGGAAATTAGTGCAGATGTAAAAAGTGGAAATATAATGATAATTCCTCATATCAGAAAATTAAACCGATTTTTTTTTCGAACCTCTAAAAAATATTTTTGCAGGAAGGAATTCAAAAGTCTTGTTAAAGTGATTTAACTTTTCAACTCTACACAAAAATCTGTTAAATCCATTTGTTCTCACTGTCGAGCCAGAAACCATGGCTTGCCAATTTCAGGCAGGACACTCCAAGATTACAAAATTCTGGAAAATTATGGTGTTATTTATTGATTTTTGAAAAGAAGGAAAGTGACAAATCTACAGGAAAGAAGATGATTTATGAGTGGAAATAATAAAAAAAAATTCTTGCCCCACCAAACACACAAAGTATCAAATGTAACTTTCCTGAAATGGCTTAGTACCAATGAATGTTTGAATGCTGGGAGGTGGCTAAGGGCAGGAACAAATCCTCATATACCAAAACAGGAAGTCAGGGAGAAGTAATTCTCTCTCCCTAGGGTGTAGGAGGAAATACTTATATACCAAAACAGGAAGAGGGGGAGAAGTAAGTCTGTCTGTCTCTCTCTGTCTCTCTCTCTCTCTGTCTCTCTCTCTCTCTCTCTCTCTCTCTCTCTCTCTCTCTCTCTCTCTCTCTCTAGGGGGCAGGAGCAAATCCTCATATACCAAAACAGGAAGAGGGGGAGAAGTAATTCTCTCTTATTCTCTCTTTCTCTCTCTCTTACTCTTTCTCTCCCTCTCTCTCTCTAAGGGGCAGGAGCAAATCCTCATATACCAAAACAGGAAGAGGGGGAGAGGTAATTCTCTCTTATTCTCTCTTTCTCTCTCTCTCACTCTTTCTCTCCCTCTCTCTCTCTCTAAGGGGCAGGAGAAAATCCTCATATACCAAAACAGGAAGAGGGGGAGAAGTAATTCTCTCTTATTCTCTCTTTCTCTCTCTCTCACTCTCGCTCTCTCTCTCTCTCTCTAGGGGGCAGGAGCAAATCCTCATATACCAAAACAGGAAGAGGGAGAGAATTAATTCTCACTTATTCTCTCTTTCTCTCTCTCTCCATCTCTCTCTCTCTCTAGGGGCAGGAGCAAATCCTCTACCAAAACAGGGGCAGGAATTAAGCAATTCTCCTTTCTCACTTTCTCTCTCTCTAGGGGGCAGGGAAAATATCCTCCAAAACAGGAAGAGGGAGAGAATTAATTCTCACTTATTCTCTCTTTCTCTCACTTTCTCTCTCTCTCTAGGGGGCAGGAAAATATCCTCATATACCAAAACAGGAAGAGGGGGGAGAAGTAATTCTCTCTCTCTCTCTCTCTCTCTCTCTCTCTCTCTCTAGGGGGCAGGAAAATAACCTCATATACCAAAACAGAAGAGGGGGAGAAGTAATTCTCTCTTATTCTCTCTTTCTCTCTCTCTCTCTCTCTCTCTACACACACACACACACACACACACATTTCTATATAGGATGTATCAAAAATACTTTTAAAAACATCGTGGACAGGTTCCTCACATCACAACAAGAGCAAAAGTCCATATGAACATATATCTGGAAATCATTCAATCTTGTGTTAATTTTAAAGAAAGTATATGGTAGATATTTTGCCATGTAGACAAGGTTACATTCAGCATTTTGTGTTAACTGAGAAATGTTTCATTTAATAATGGCAGGATATTCATATCATGAACAGACAGATATGATTTTACATGCGACCGCACGAATGGTAATGGATGTGAGTCAGCACGGCTGTATCAGAGTGTTTTCCAGACTGAAGGCTGTCAAAGTCATCCAAACTTTGCTGCTGCTTATCATTGTGTTACTGAGACAGGGTCTGTGGCACCACAAAATATGGATCAACAAAGACCAAGATCCACGCAAACAGCTGACCACAAAGAACATGTTCTACATGCTGTCGGAGGCAATCCAGTAATCAGCACACATCAAGTGGCCCTAGCATGTCCTACATCTCATAGTATCGTATGGAGGGTACTTCAAGAGCAGCATCTGTATTCATATCATTTGCAATATCTGCAGGGTCTTTCACCCTCTATTCACTCACAATAGGGGAACTTTTGCCGTTAGTTTATTGAACATTTGTTATGTGTTGCTGTATTGAGGTACAATGATGGCCATATTAACTTGGTTTACCTAAACTTTGCAAAAGTATTTTTAATATATCCTGTATATATATGGGGATAATGTAATGGCTAGCATAGCATCTTGGAAAGATACATCTGTGAACCAAGTTCAAATTCCCAACATTTTTTTTTTAATCATTTCACCCCAAGGAAGGCAACAAAGCCACTAAGATTCAGGGTGTTACTGAGTGTGAAATAATATAAGAAAAAGAAAAACATTATTAAGGAGCAAGAACAATGAAAGAAAAGAAATTAAGAAGAAAGAAGATAACAATTCATATTGCATTTAAATTTTTAAAAATCAAACTTGACTGGAAAGCGAGAAGCCAGAAGAGAATTCCACAAGCAAGAAGTGTGAGAAAACAAACTATTAGCATATAACTTACAATTACATCTAGCCATTTCAACTGGTGAATATTCATGAACATTCTTAAATTTAAAAGTCTCAATAAACTAATGACATCCTTGCTTTTGTATATAAACACATGCAACAAAATAAGTCCTACATTGGCCTTGATAAAGTCCCTCATGAAATGGACAAAGTCTGACAATTATTTCATTTATTGTCCATTTCATTTGTTTACATTTGATATGCATGAGCAAACATGAATGTACATGAGAGATTCATGGAAGATTGAAGTTTAAATACAGTAAATTCGACCTTGCTAACCGAACGCACCTCTGTGACCAAATCGGTAAAGACACGTCAAACTAAATGACGGTTGCATATAGGATACAGGTTTGAATCCTGTCGGAGGACGAATATTTTCTGTGAAGATTTCTCGGACATTCAGGCCGGTAAATGTTGTTTATTATAAACAGAGTATTTACTTAAATATTTGTATCTATAAAAGAATGTATAAACATAAAATGTCTTAATATATATATATATATATATATATATATATATATATATATATATATATATATATACTTTATTATTCACAAGTATTTTCCTTTTTCAACAGTCTCAATGATTCATTCTCCTAAATTGTGATGTAAATATGTTTATACTTATAATTTTCACTTTATTATTTGTATTATTATTTGTAAACAATCCCATGAGCCTCTTGTGACTCTTATTTGAATTGTCACCATTTGTTTGGAAACCAATAATCTATAGAATCAGTTAAAAACAATAATCTATAATTCTTAATTTAAAATTTACCAAATTATGACATATTTTGTAGAAATCTAATAAACAGGATTTAATTATTCTTACTTTATTTTTATTAAAAGAAATATTGTAAAACATTCTCATTCATTTCTGACTATTATTTACCTTCATTTATATAGTTTTTTTAATTTTTTTAAAAAATCCTTTCACCACAAGCAAGGCAATAATGCCACTAAGATATAAAGGGTTACTGGTCATGAAAGAAAATAAGATTTTTGGTGAAGGAACTGGAAACCCAATCCTAAATGGGAAACAAGTCATAAACTACTACTTCTGTTCAGAAGATAGGAAAGAAGTGTGATCCAGGCAATAAACAAACCTATTCACTCCTATTGAGGAAAAGAAAAAAAATTAGTAAATAAAGTTTCAGAGATCAGGCGGAGATGTTAGAAGTATAGAGTTAAAGTAGACTTTAAAAGGAACTTGATCCTAAACTGAAACAAAGGATAAACCACTACTTCTTTTTCAAAAGACGGAAAAAATATGGGAACCAGAAAATAGTCAAACTTATCTATTCTTAGTGAGGAGAAGAAACAAAATCATAATAATTAGTAAATGAAATATTGCACTAGAGAAAACCTCCGGAATGAAAATGGATTCGGACGTGTCTTGCATTCCCAGAAAGAAAATGATGGTTTCATGAGACATATATTTGAAACAGATAGATCTTGTAGTCAGATACACTTTCACAAGAATCTCTTTTAACATATTCAAATTTTAACTGTCACTCAATCTATAAAAAGTACTTAAACAGGTGACAGAGAATTGTGAGTATTGTAGTGAATAGAAAACATGTGTTGTCAGATTGCTTGACCTAAGTTCATGCCATTACTTTGTTCGTGGAAGGAAACCAATTCCAGACATTTATTACAAGCCAGAAGAAACTGACTACATAAAATTTCAGTGATCACGTGGAGACATCAGAAGTATAGAGTTAAAATAGACTCCTGTTCGAAAAATATGGAAGAAGTGTAAACCAGATGATAGGCAAAATTATCTACCCGTATTGAGGAGAAGAAAAAAATAAATAAATAATTAGTAACTAAAATTAAAGAGATCAGGTTGAGACATTTTTTTACCCTATCCAATGAATGATTTTGAGGATTTATTTTTAATCACTTCACCCCAGGCAAGGTGATAATGCCACTAAGACGCAATACGTGAAAAAGGATGAGAAAACTTTAGAAGAAACCATAAACACAATCCTAAATGGGAAAAAAGGGATAAACTTCTTCTCCTGTAAAGGTTTATCCTGGGAGGAAAGTGGACTGAATGATAGTCGAACCTATCTACTCCAATTAAAGAAAGAGGAAAAAACTAGTAAATAAAATTTCAGAGTTCAGACGGAGACATTAGAAGTTGAAGTACACTTTAAAAAGTACCAGAAAACTAATCCTAAACTGGAAACCAGGGATAAATCTCTACTCCTGTTCAAAAACATAGAAGGAGTGTGAACAGGGCAATCGACAAACCTATCTACTCCTACTGAAGAAAAGAAAAAAAATTTTCAAATATCAGGCAGAGATGTTAAAAGTATAGAGTTGAAGTAGACTTTAAAAGGAAACGGAAAACCAATTCTAAACTGGAAACCAGGGATAAAATTCTACTTCTGTCCAAAAGACTGTGGAGGAGTATGAACTGGGCGATAGGTGAGCCCTTCCACTCCTACATTATTATTAGGTGAAACAATGTCAACTATTATCATTAATCTTTGATTAACATTTACTTTTTTAAATTATTTTTTGTTATATTTTATCCAAACTTTACTAACATTGTGAGTAGACAGTGCAGATGAGAAATGATGGATAAACTTACAGTGAGGTTTGAACTGATATCCCCTTTTGCCTGGGGGTGAGGTGCACATTGAAAATTCTTCAATCAAATAAGCTCTGAGAATTCAACCAGTTTATTGGAATAAATATAAAGCTACAAAAAGAATAAAAAAAAAGAAGTAACAAAAACAAAATGGTGCCACTAGCACAACAGAGCATTTAGTAGAACCAAATGAGTCAGTGAAAATTCCTTGGCAACAAAACATTGTTCTCAGACCAATTTATTAGTGGAACAATGTCAACAATAAAACCCAGCACCAGACTTATTCCAATGAAAACAGTTTTCAAATGGTCTTACCAAAATAGTGATTAAAGATAAGACAAAAATCAATCTTCCAGTAAGAAATATTTTAACAGCAGGTTTAGGGTTAGGTTTAACAAGGAAAAAAGTGAAAAGACAACAAATGGTGACAAGATGTGGTTGAGATAAAGAGTTTTTTTACTCTCTGTCATTTATAAAGTTTGATCATTTGCTCATTCCAAGATATTGTATTTCAATCATAGGAGACTGAGAGTTTGTTCAGAGTATAACACAAGGTAGTAGTCATTCCAAGATATCATATTTCTGTCATGGGAGACTGAGAATTTGTTCAGAGTATAACACAAGGTAGGAGTCGATCCAAGATATCGTATTTCTGTCATGGGAGACTGAGAGTTTGTTCAGAGTATAACACAAGGTAGGAGTCGATCCAAGATATCGTATTTCTGTCATGGGAGACTGAGAGTTTGTTCAGAGTATAACACAAGGTAGGAGTCGATCCAAGATATCATATTTCAGTCACGGGAGACTGAGAGTTTGTTCAGAGTATAACACAAGGTAGGAGTCGATCCAA